ATTGATTTTCAACTTCTCTGTCCTCATATTTAAGGCAACTTTTCCTAAAGTAGCCTAGAGTTAGGGTTTTTTTTTAATCCAACAAAACTTTTTTCTTTTAAATAAAGTAAGTATACATTCTATCTAAAGTTAAGGTAATTATGGATTAATTTGGTTTAATCTACTATCTTACCATTGCTATCTGTTAACCATTCTGTGTTCCTTTGTCTCTCTATTCTTGCCTTCTAGAGGATTAATTATTTTTTAATCTTCCATACCAGAAACTGAAAACAATGTCATTTATGAACATTAGTATACCATGGGCAGGGCAAGAGGAGCGGTCTATCGGGGTGGAATCAACTGCTTAGAGTTTAGGCCAGCAAGTAATTATTTTCCCTGAGGAGTATTCTATTCTAGGATTGCTTTTTATATCAAAAAGCAGGTGACGTTTTGTTAGCTATTTCCTTGCTTTTAAATTCTCAACATAGAAGGTGCCCTAGAGTCTGCAGACTAGAGAGAGACACCTCCTACTCCCTGGCCCCAATCCTCGACCCGCCAATGCTTGCGGCAGTGGAGGAAGGCCAGAGGGTTGGGCCGGAACAGTGCAGTTGAGCTTATGGAAGGCTCATAAGCCCCTCTTGGCTTTGGCCTATGTCATTTCACCAATTGTTTCGCTACTGCACCCTTGAAGAAATATTTATCTAAAATTATTTTAAACTACACTTTTACTGAGAAAACTGGTTAATACACAGCAAGAAGCAAAGAGTCTAAAATTATTTCCTCATACTGGCTGGATGTATGTTTGATCGTCTCTCTGTGCCAGATCATAAGCTCCCTTGAGGACAGGGACAGAATCTCAATCAGAACTCTTTTCTGCAGCAGCAGCTCCCAGATTGTAGAATGAATGCTTAATAAATGCAAGTTATACTGAATGGTTTTCCCCTGTGTGTTATCTTGTACATAAAACACAATTTATGTTGTGTTCCTATCCCTTGTATGAAAATGAAAATAAATGACATCTTATTAAAAGATTCTTCAGCCTCCTGGGCTATAATTTTACAAAAAATTGGCATATACAAAAGGGAACATATTTATTTAAAAAGGGAAGGAAAAACTGAACTAATTAAGTGAATAGAAGGCTTTTTGTGATGAAACAAATAAGAAAAAGATTTGTGAGCAATAAACATATGCAGTTAATGGAAATGCTGCATATTAAAAGATGAATTTATGAAAGTCAAAGAAACCAAAACTCTTCACGTAGGAAGACTTTCAATACCCTCACGAAGCTCAGTTGAAAATACTCTTCTCTTTTGCTCATGTTCTTTTTTGTGCTATTTTAGTTATTTATTGGCACTGAAGTCTACCTAAATAGATACCTAGAATTCAGGACCACGTTAAAGAGAGCTAATTAAACTCCTTACATTCATTGTTAATTTTGCCTTCTCTCTCTTTTTAAAAATGATGCTGGCACCAAAGGTTCAGATGACCTATTTCAGTTTGTTTTGGTTTTTGAGACCAAGTCTTGCTATGTAGCCTAGGCTAGCCTCAAACTTACTTTCTTTCTTTCTTTCTTTCTTTCTTTCTTTCTTTCTTTCTTTCTTTCTTTTTTTTTGTACCAGGAGTTGAACTCAGGACCTCGAGCTTGCCAGGCAAGTGCTGTGTCACTGAGCTATATCCCTGGCAAACCTTGAACTTCTGATCCTTGAACTTGCTAGCCTCCCAAGTAGCTGGGATAGCAGATACACAGCACCATGGCCAGGTGTTTCAGTTATATTTATCTTTTTCCTTCAGAAAGTCATTTTGAAGAATTTTTATGTTATTTACAGAACTTTATATTCATCAGTCTTAAGAATTCCTTGAGTTTTATTCTTATGAATTTGTTCTCACTCTAAATGAGAATTCATCAAAAAGTTTGTGTGGTTGTCATTCGCTGTCTCAAGTCATCAATATTATCCAGCAGATATTTTGGATTCCCCATCATTCTAGAAATGTCAGTAGGATTATATTTCTTAGCACTAGTCTGGGTGAGATCAGGTGACTAGTTCTGGTCATTGTGTTGTGAGCAAAAGGAACACGTGTTACTTCCTGATTAGAGAATTTAATGGATGAAATAAGACCCTTCAGCAAACTCCTTTCCCTCTGACCTGGTAACAGTGACATTTGTTCTGTCACCATGAGTCCCTGAATGACAATGACAAGCAAAACACCCTACTGACCCATGATGAATATGTAGTGTAATCAAACAAACTTTTGTGGCTTTGAGCCACTAGGATTTGGGGACTGCTTATTATTCTTGCTTATGTCTGGGCTCTGTCATGGAAACAGAACCAGTATGCACACATCCATATCTATATCCACAGAGATTAACTAATTAAAAGGAATTGGCATATGACATCATTAGTGGTTTGCAAAGGAATAGACTTGATACAGGACACATACATTTATAGGAATGTCTTATAATGTTCACCCAAAAAGTCAAATTCAGAAGATTATAAGAGAGCTAGTTGAGTGCTAGACACCCAAACAATCTAGCCGAGGATCTGGATTCCCACATGAGTCCAGCCAAAGGCCTAGAGCCCACAGCAATATCGCATGCAAGCCCATATCAAGGATCTGCACTGAGAAGACCCAAAGATCAGTGCAGAAAGCTAGAAAGTCTGCGCTGGCTGGGTGAAGGATCTGTGCCAGCAGGCTGAGAGGTCTGTAGTTGAACCAGAAAGCAATGCTCAAGGCAAAGACCAGAGCTCCCCTGACCCCTGCCCCCACAGGAGACACTCAGCCATCCCCATTGAGGACCTAAGATCTCCCTCTGAGAACAGCTGAGTTTGTATCAGGAAAACCAGCCCTGCAAGCTTCTCCAGGAACCACCCCCCATTCTCCTTGTATGTCATTGGCAACAGTCCTCAGGTGGGTCTTTCACTTCCAGCATCATGCGGATTCAGTTCAGCTGGGCATCCTCACTTAAACTGACCAGTTGTTAGTCCACCAGAGCACATGCGACCATGGGAGCTGCGAGGCGAGTGTGAGATCTGTCAGGCTGAGCAGGCTGGGACCCAGGCAGGAGCTGACATTCAGTCTACAGGGACAGCTTTTTCTTCAGGGAGCCTCTTCAGGGAATTCTGCTGTTAGGTACTTTCAACTGATTAGTTCAAGCCCACCCAGATTAGTGAGGATAATGCTCCTTATTTGAAAAAATGACGATTAGCACGAAAGACATCTACAAAATGTTTTCACGGCAACACCAAGGTCAGTGTCTTATTGACTCACTGACAGTAGCTTAACCAAACTGACACATACGACTGACCATCAAACTATGCCATAGCAGAATTAGGCTACAATGCAGTGCTGTGAATGCAGTACTGATTCAGCCATATATTGCTGTCAATAGACCTTAGACTTCTTAAATATGTACCTTGTGTGCTCTTTTTGTATAAAGGACTCCCAGTGAACTGGCTAAGTGACAAACTCCAAAATACAGACCTTGCTTCTTTCTTCATTTTTTTTTTTTTTTGAGACAGGGTCTTCTTTTGTATTCCAGGCCTGCTTTGAACTCAGTATGTAGCTGAGGCTGCCTTTGAACTTGCAGCAATCCTCCTGCCTCAGCTTCCCCACTGTTGGGATTATGGACATGCTTGGCATTTGCTTTTAACTCATAAAATAAATGGTAGGTAGAGGAATTCTTTTCCCTTTTGAGTGACTGTCCATAATGGGTTATATGTTAAGCAAAATACAGAACTATAATTATTTTAAAATAATATTACTAACCTCTATCCAAATTGAGTTGGTGGCAAGGCCAAGGTAAGTGTGTCACGACCCCACTTACACTTTTTCCCATGGCTCCTATGGCATCTCAAAGGCCCAATTCCTTGTTAGGCCTCTTAGAAGCAGTCTCACCTCTGTTTTCCACTAAACCCTGTCAACTCCTTGTTTGCACAAGTATTCAGCAAAATTTTTTTTAGCAACTTTTGCATTTTAAATCATTAGAATGTATATTTAAGACATATCTAAACTGAGCGTGGTGGCGTACTCCTGTAATGCCAGCACTCAGGAGGTTGAGGCAGGAAGATTGTTGCAAGTTCGAGACCAGCCTGGGGTACAAAGCGAGCTAAGGCTGGCCTGAACTGCATGAGGGACCCTGTCTCAACAAGACAAAAAAAAAAAAAAAAAAAAAAAATTTAGCCTTTATTAACTCCGTGTGTGTTCTATGCTTCATCCTTCCTCATACAGAGAAACAATGGGTCTGGGTTTCAAGATTTCTAGTTTCTCTACTAACTTCAGTAATCTCTACATTTATCATATAGTTATTTTTTAAATGAGTGTCTGCATGTGTGTGTGCATCGGTGCGTGTAATACACTTTATTTCTCTGCTCAATACTTCTGATTCATTTTTACGCATCCAGGATACAGGGTTACGATTGATTTGATATTTAACATAGATGGAGTGGATCTGTGTGACTCACCATGGAGACCTCCTGCTTGGATGCGAGTCTGTGTCTAACCAAGACAGGGTGTCTCTGTCCCTTTCCTCACCACTGAGATGCAACTCCCAATGCCCACTCACAACGGAAAGAATGAGAAGTTCACCTTAGCTCACGGTTTTCGGAGGTTTCAGTCTGTGGTTGTGTGCTCCAATGTGGGAAGGACAGGGCAGAAGGGTCTGGGGAGGAAGCTGTTCAAGTCATGGCAGCTGGGAAGCAGAGAAGGAGGCAGCCGGGGAGGGAGAGAAACCCTTCTGCTCATGCTCCTAGTGACTCAGCTCTAGCCGGGGCCACGCCTTCTAACAGCCGCTGAATTTGTTAGTGGATGGATCATGATCCCATCATCTTCCAAAAACCCACCTCTGAGGGCGTGAGGCCTTGGGGAACAATCCAGACACACCTATAACGCAGGGCATACCACAGTGTTTGTTTTCCTTTCTGTTTTACCTCCAAGCTACTTAACAGTGAGGACAACTTTCAATTCATTAAGTTGTTAAGACAGGCACCTTCAGATTGTAAAGGACAAACACAAATCAGACTATCTCAGTTAATGTAGTTTATTTATGTCAATACATAAGAAAGCAAGGAAGATAGGAAAGCAACCCAGTAACTACAAAGTCCAGACTCACTGTTCAGGAATCAGTCATTTCTCCAGTAACCTAAAAGCAGATATGCTGAATCAAATAGACCTCTAGACTTGGTGGCAAAAGTAGTTGCCAGTCCTGCTCCAAGGTGACACCATTATGGGAACTGTGTCTATCTTGGTTGCTCTTGCTGCTACTCATTTATTTTCTATCTCTCATATTCAGACTTAAAGAGGTTGGGCTAAGTATTTCTGGGTTTATTTTCTTTCCTTAGGCCATCCCATGGCCTGAAAAGGAGTCACTTGGACTCAGGACTTGAACCTTGATACAATCAACTGTGACCAGTATGGAGAGCTCATATAACAAGAAACATGACCTGCCTATACAGGGGGTATGGGCATAATCTCTCCTGGACACTAGGAAAATTATAGGTCCACATATGAAATAGAGGTTATAACATACAGCTTTATTGCTGGGGACAAAACTACTTTTGTTTTTCAAGGACACTTTGGCACACAGGATTTCCAACATGTTCTATAAATACTTTTCTGAAACTATGGTGTTGCTCTTCTTTATTACATTTTTGGATGTTGCCTTTCATAAACATACCTTCTAAAGAAGCAGGTAATCTTCACTTTTAAGTAAAAGTAAATGAAATTATGGAAGAATCCTGTTTCACATGAATGCTGTTGGATCATCTTTTCTGGGTTGTCTTTAAAAACCTTCACCCTTCACTTCAGTCAGAAAGTCACATATAATTTCAACATTTGGAGCCCTGGAAAATGAGGTCGTAGTCTCTAATTTATGAGAACACTCTAAACTAGAAACTGGGTTTGTCTGCATTTGTGTCTTACAAGGAACTTAGAGCTCAACTACCCCTGGTTATCCCATGAAAAACAGTAGAGTCTATAAGAGAATTAATTTTTCAAAGTGTTTGAGGCCCAGGGGAATGAGTTTGTGAGCCAGATGTCCACTTTTCAAAAAAATAATTCTCCCCTTAGTAATTAGTCTGTCATATGAAGTAAAAATAAATCACAAATAATTTTCACCTTTACAATGATTTAATTGGGCCCCTTGAACATGATTGACTCATGAAATTATTATTAGCCAATTAAAAACATGAAATTATAAGATCCAGAAACTTCCAATCAAATGAAATTATTGACTATTGCAGATTCAGAAATTTCACTTTACTAGACCTTTGCTAAACTCTCAAATGACAGCTTTAAAAAAAAGTGCACCCCCATAGCTTTCTTCTCTTTATAAAAAGGGTATCAGCATATGCACCTACCATGCATATTTTTTCAGAGATCAATCTTTGCCTTATATCTAAATTATGATAGCAAATGAACCAAACATTATCCTGTGTGGACCCTATAAAAGGCACCATGCTGCACTCTCCAAATGATCTTGAGTGGATCCTCAACTTCCTAGTGGCCAAATGGGAAGGGAATGTGCACCTTTGGAGGAGTTGGCTTAGATGCTTTTCAAGGTAAGCTCTAAATCTCAGTTTTAGAATGGGTTTATTGGGGCTGAGGGATGTAGTTCCATGTTAGAGCATTTGCCTAGGAAGCTCTGGGTTTGATCCTCAGCACTGTAAAAATATAACAACCAAATGGGTTTGCTGAGAAGACACAAGTGTCTTTGATTATGGATTTAGCCCTAGAAAAGACAGATGAATGGATGAGAGGGAGCTGACCTACACCCACAGACACTTTCTGTCAAAGGACCACAGTGTAGCTTGTGGTATCTGTAACTGTTTCTTCACTAAGAAGTCACTTATTTACCCCAAATCAACAATAGTATGAACAAATGTTATGGAGGGAGAGGAGTAGTTTCACAAAGTTCCTGTTGGATGACTATATAGAACAGCTGTCCCATAACCTGCTGGACCAGCTACATTTACTTTGCACCTTACATGAGCAGGACAGCAAGTTTGTTTCTGAGATCAAGTGGAGGAGAAAAAGAAATGCTTCACCTTACAGTATGAAAATGCCATATAAATTTACTTCTGAAAATAATTGAACATTTGGTTATAGGAAAGATTTGATCATTTTAATGACTCCCTACAAATTCAACCCTATATCACACCAAATTATTTAGGGATCAGAATGTTAATAATATAGATATATCCAAGTACATGTTTATGCTATTAATAGAAAGGTACATTAAAAAATTCCAAGAGATCCTTTGCAACAGAATTAGAAGTTTAGTAGTTAAACATAGCAAAAGAAAATACATAATGGCCTGCTAAATTTCACATTTCTTTTTTTGTCAGGTTGCCAAAGAAGTCTAGGTAATCAGTGGTCTTTTATAACTCTGTAAGTACAAGACTGGTAATGGGTCAAAAATAAGAAAAGTAAGTTTTTCCAGCTTTAAGGTATCATTCTGGAGGATACCTAACTAGTCACCATACAGAGCGGTATTTTCATAATTCTGCCAAAGGTGGGAATTCTCTCAAATGGAAAGGGTAAGCCTAAGAGGAGTTGACTTGAGGGCTAGTGAAAAACCTACACTGATTTAAGCCAATAAGGTAAAAATGGTAAGCAGCTATTTGGTTAACAACATATAAAAGGAAAAGGAGAGAAGTTAATTTATAGCAAATAAGAAAATGTTTGAATGTGGATTAATTTATCCAATCTGTCTTAGGCCAAAAGAGAGTTATATTAGTTTTTCCTTTAAAAGGTTGATAATAAATTGCACCAGTATATTGGTAATAAGCACAGGGGGAAAAAGAATTGATATCCACAATGATGGGGCTGTTTTTAGGGTGTGAATTTGAATACTCAATAGCAAAGTATCTTTCATTATAGGAGCTGACCCTTCTATTGCAGGTATAGGCAGCCTTTCATATTCCTTAAATGTTAGAAAATAATAGAATGAATTTTGGACTGAGAAACACAAGTGGTCATATGTATAGGGGGGTGGCAGATTCTAGGATAGAATTCCTGAGACAGACGGACTCTGGATCTGATTCTATCAAGAAATTCTTATAGTCTTTTAATTTCCCCTTGGAATTTAGTTCAATAAAAGTTTCTACAAACAAACAGCAATCTCAGAAAGAATTGAAGTCACTTGAGAATAGCCACAAGCTCGTGGGAAATGAGCTTCTGTCAGTCCTGGGTTTACTGAGGCACTTTTAACAAACCAGTGACTGCATTAGTAAAACACATTTTTAAAAGGGTAAGATCAGCCAAAAATGTGACCTGACTCATCTCACTAAGAACCAAGTCAGACACAAGGCAAACCACAACACAGATTCCAGGGAAAGTGGTGCTCAAAGCTATCCAAATGCAAAGGTTTTCTTTCCATAGATCTTTCATTTCTTGAGCTGAGCCTACTTTGACTTTTAAAAGACTCTAGTTTACACTTTACATATGTTCCGCAGGACGTTGGCAGTCTATGAAATTCCCCTTTACAAGGTTCTTTAGAGACAGAAGGGCCCTTTTCAGTGTGTCTCCCTCCTATCATTTTCAGGTACCTACCACGCGGTGTTTCCAAAGCAGAGGTAAAATCTCAGAAGGTTCTACTTCTCCTATGGTGTGATAAGCTGTGATCCAATTTAGGACATACCAGGGGTCAGTGATGACGCAGTGGAGGCCAACAGTATTGATATTTGGCAATATGTTTCAGTGATTTGATTCTGGGGTGATAAATTCTTTGGGGTGGGAAGGAAGCAGGCTGCATAAAAACCGTTGATGCCCGTGCATAAGCTTCCTACAGGCTGGGCCAGCAGAAGGTCATACTGGACTCCAGAGCAAGAAGTGTCCTCAAACAGTGAATCACTGTTTAAAATCAATAGTTCAGAATAAATAAGGCACTAGGTTAGTGTTAGTGACAGAGGAATCCAAAGTATAATTTGGTCTCAAATTGTATTTGGTTTTCTTTTTCCTCCTCCTAGGGAAATGACTTCTGAAGTGTTTATGGAGAAAAAAGAAAAAAAAATTAGTTGTCACCATCCTCTTAAAATCCTTGGTGTAGACATCTACCCAATAATCTCAAATTAAAGTGTTTTTACTTTGTTCTTTTTCTCTTGAGAAGTATTTCCTGGGATGTTTGGAAGTAGGAGGGGTGGAAGTTAGTAATATATTTAGCACAGACCCAGAAAGAGAAAGGCTACCTCTAGAGGGAGAGACAGAGTATCCAAAGGAAAGAGAAAATGCTACAGAATGGAATGTTCTCTTAGGAGACAAAGACTCCTTTCTGATGTTCTCAGCCCAGGGCCTATTTTCCTGGTTGCCACAGGAGGCCAGCGTCACCTCCACCACCTGACTGCCTTGGTGAGGCGTGTTGCTGTGTCTCGTAGAGCCCCGAAGCTGCTGGCCCCCGGCAGAAACACCGGGACACAGTTCCTGGGGCATCATTTTGAAGGGGCTTGGAGAGAAACAGCAACTATGATCATTTCCTAAAAGATGACATTCTCTTCTCCTGCCACATAGATGCCAAAGTGTAGGCAGGCCATTTCTCTAGGCCCACACTGCAAGGAAGTAACAATTTTCTTTCCCTTTAGATGTTCTTTTGCAAACCCAACCTTTTTGTTTGTCCCAGGGGGAACTTGGTAGGTTTGCTTGTCCCCACTCTTCTTTCTTTTTAAAACCATCACTAAAGCCACCACTAGTTGGATGACTGGAAGATAACTCCCTACTCAAACAAGGATTATGCAAATGGTGCATATTTAGAGTCTTAGGTATTGGCCATTACTGATGAAGAATTCCATTGAGAATCCCCCCAAAGCCATAAAAACATGCTATCCTTAACCGTACAGCTTCCTTCCAGCTTTGACTGGTTAAGGATCCATTGAAACAATATTTGGAAACAACTAGCCAGGAAGTAATGTGACCACTAGATGACCAACAGCAGTCATTGTATCTGGAGTGATCCCATTAGGCAAGCCCCTAGAAATGAGAAACAGTGGTTGAAATTGCTTGTCCTTGCTCTGAAAACACATGGATATGCTGGTCCCAAAGAATGACCCCCTAGCACAATGTCTAGTTTCATGTTGATATCATTTATGCCCAAGTGACCCAACAAAAATGCTCCATGCAGATGTTGACAATCCAGGTCTCCACTAGGGGTTTTGTGTCGCTGCATTCTTGCTATCCACGTTTGTGACAGGAAGCTGTGGATTTGTTTCTCCTTCTGGGTTCTTGAGGAGGACCTGGTCTTGATTCTATCAGGATACCACAAAGATTGTTTCAAGAAAAAGATTAAACATTATAATGCTCAGCATTTATATAGGTTCTTTTGATTTCAAAACAAGGTATAAACATCTCCTACCATGACAACATCCTTGAGAGGTAGGTGAGTATTTCTGTCTCTACATTAACAATAGAAACCCCAGGCTAAGGAGTGAAGGAGCCCCTCTGTTCTGAGCCCCATAGTCAGGAGCCACACTGGGTGTGGGTGTCCTGGTCACCTGCTTGGGGATCTTATGTAGCAACAGTCTCCATTAATACATGGTTATATATTGTATAGATATAAAACAACACACAATGACATTATAGAAGGATAATCCAATATTTCTGTTTCTTAGTAAAATATGTTAAGCACAGTATTTAAATTGCATTTCTCTGAAAAGCATTTGGTATATTAAATAGCAGAAGGTATATTAAATAGCTCTATAAACGTTTGCTGGCATACTCTTAACAGCGTAATGATTCTAAAGAAATTTAAATCCACTCACACATAAAGACCTTTCCTTTATGATACTGTAAACTAAACAAAAAATGTGGAAAACTACATTGTTCTCAAAATGCAGACTGAATAGCTTGCTGGATATTAGCAGGTGGCTGCATCATTTTTCTGAGCTTGAGAGAAAAGGTACCTATTGCTGGCTGTGTTTTTCAAAGAATTGATTCGGTAGGGGGGCAGAATGTAGCTGAGAGGTGAAAATTAAAGACCGTTATTTCCATTTTGTATCCATTCTGAGAAATTCACTCATTTTTGAAAGATGCTATCATACTTGGAACTAATGTTGAGGTGAATATAGGGACACTACATAATAAGGACATTTTGAGAGAAGATAAAATGATAAAGTAAAACTTACAATATTAAAAAGATACGGAACAAAGACACAAAAAGGGTATTTTTTTCCAGAGTGTTGAAGGCTGCCATAAGATGTGAGCTGTGTGTGTGTGTAGGGGCGCAGGCAGATTTTGGAGATGACTCACAAAGGCAAATACTTGGATTTATCAATGTCTTCTCCATGGTTGAAGTCCTCACCTTCTCCTAATCAGCAGCGCTCAGAATGGTGTTAAAGAAAAGAGCTCACCTCATGGTAAGTTTCGTAAGAACTGACCAGTGGTCAGCAGGAAAGGCTCTAAAACCAGAAAGGACCAGGAAACAGGAATCAAAGTCTTAAATTTTGTATGCAAACATAAAAACGAACTTCTAAGCCAGAATGACATTCTCCGTTAGAAGTAACAAATACAAAAGTCTTAAATTGCGAGTACATGGCGCTAAGATATTGTTAGATAGAGATATTACATATCATTCAATGTTTTCAATGTGTGCTTTTTTTCCCCTAAAAAAGACATATTAAATTGTTTTTCTCTCCTCAAGTCCTCGGTGTATAAATAGGAAAACACGAGTGCTGACGATCAGTTTATTTCCTCGCGTTGGGCGTCCGAGGCAGTTTTGTTGGCGGGGGCTCTGGGTTTCAACAGGCTGGAGCAGTTCGGCTGTTTGGTGGGTTGTAAGGTTTTGGCATAAGGTGAATACCAGTCCCTTTCGAACACATCTTTAAGTTGCTTAATGATGCTCCTGTTGTTCCTCACATCTGCCTGGTTGATGACGAGGCCCGTGCCGGCATTTTGGGTAAAATCATTCCCCACCCAATCAAAATTTCCTGCCAATAAACAAAGACACAATGGTGAGGAGTCTGGACCCACTGAGAATATTCCCAATATAATGAAATACAGAGTGGATTCTATTTACAAAACCATTAACACTCAGGAATAATGACAAGGAGGCAGAATTGTGTTGACAGCTCCAGAAAAAAAAATTCCGAAGACTTACATATGGCATATTAATATTTGCATATTATTTTGGCATTTTCTTCAGCTTTACTCAAGTTGAAACTCAAAACAAGGAATCTGCTGTTCTTTTCTTGTAAATGTTATTTCTTATTGATGTTCACAAGACGCACTAAATATAGCAACATTTAAAATATATAGGAATACTCTTAAAAAAATCTTGTGAACAATTACTACCCTCTCGAAGAGACAACATCAAATCCATATGTACAAACACATCATAGCGCTGAGAAGACTTTCCATCAAATTCAAAGGAAGTGGAAGCAGAGACTTCCCAGTTTCTGAGAGAGAGAGAAAACACATGTGCATGCACGCGTGCTCGCGCGCGCGCGCGCGCACACACACACACACACACACACACACACACACGCTCTGCTTGGGCTAAGAGGATCCCCAGAGGTGGCCAGCCCAGGAGTCCAGGCAGCACCGTGAGGACCAGCTCTGCCCATGTCCAAGGGGTCCCTGACTTCCAGGGCTGTTCCCATGAAGTCCCACATATTGTTGGGTTTAAACAACAGGAAAGTATTTTCTCACACTTCTGGAAACAAAATCAACACATTTGCAAGACTGGCTCTTCCCGAGGGCTGAGGGGAGGACCCGCTCCAAGCCTCTCTTCTTGGACTTTAGATGGCCGTCATATTGTCTTCCCTCTAGGTATACTGGTGTCCAAATCTATGTATGTATGTATGTATGTATGTATGTATGTATTTGGTACTAAAGATTAACTCAGGGCTTTACCCATGCTAGGCAAGTGCTCTACCATTGAGCTTTATCCCCAACACTTTTTATTTTATTTTATTTTATTTTATTTGAGCTGCCTTTGAACTTGTGATCCTCCTGTCTCAGTCTCCCGAGGAGCTGGGATTATAGGCATATGCCACCATGCCTGGCAAATTTCCCCTTTCAGAAAGACACTGGTCATCTTAGATTAGTGGCCACTTAAATATATCATTTTAAATTTGACTATTTCCAAATAAGGTTGTATTCTGATGTACTGGGTCTTAGGACTTCAACCTACCAATTTTGAGGGGACACAATTCAGCCCATTCGGTAGTAAGGCTGTGATCAGCCTCAGAAGACCCTATAATGCTGTGCTCTTCCTGCGTAGTCCACCTTCAAGGTAGGCAGATGAATAGACTGGACACCCCCAAACGGCTACCAAAGAATCTCTCTTTGGCACCCAGTGGGGAGAGAGTTTCAGCAGAACAAAGGTTCTCCACACAAGGGGACAACACCACTTATTTCTGTGATCTTTCTTGTCCTTCATTTAAAGCATATTTATTGAGTGTTGAATGTCTCCCAGGTAGTATATTATTAGGAGCTAGAAATATAAGACTGAAAATTACAGACCCTGCCTTCGATGAATCCAGGAGGAAAACACAGTGATGATCATAGCAAGAGTGTGCAATTGGATAAGAGAAGTATGCACAGTGTCAGCAGCACAGCAGAGAGGTGACTCTAACCCCACCCAGCGTTTCAGGGAAGGAGCAATGGGAGGCGCCCTGCAATTTAACTAGAGCAAGAGAGAGTCGCTGTAGCTCAGCAGCACAATGCCTGCCTGGAAAGCACAAGGTCCAGAGTTTGGTCCCTGGTACCAAAAAAAAAAAAGAGTCACACCCCAAAGAGAGGATGGCATCTTGTGGACAGAGAAATGGTTAGGGTATTGGGGAAGTGGAGCCTGAGGTCAGGATCTAAGGGAACCTACAGGTAGAGGGACTCTCATGTGGTATTTATGTATATCATTTCACATGATTGCTGGGATTTACCTCCACTTTAAAGATGGGAACGGGTGGTTCAAAAAGGTGAAGCAATCTGCCCAGTGTCTCATGGGTAATAAACAGTACACCTAAGTCTCCAGCCTCTGTGAATAACGCACAGAGTCACAGACCAAGAACTGAGTTGATAAATGACCGCCAGCCCAGGTCTGATCTGAGCTCCTACATTTGTTCTCCTCTTTGATTAAGAGCTGGATCCATGAAGGGAGCTGATGGATTTTTAAGTGTCCACCTGGATTCTCATTCCCACAGTGGGCAGTCAGGGCTCACTACAGAAGTATCTGCTGCATAAATTCCCAAGGTCATGTCCTTGGGGCATCCCTGACCCAATGCCTGGCACCATCGCTTCGAGAAGCTGTCCAGAGAAGGCCCATCTGTAGGCAGAGCCAATGCCCGACCCTTTACTGTTTCATCCTTTGTCCTGCTCTGCTCTCTGGAGCCCTCAGTCAACCCCCTATTCCATACAGCACTCACTGGAATCCTGGGAAGTATTTCCTTTGTCCTCCATGTTATTCCTTGAGTTCATTCCTCACAGTCTCAGAATTCCAAGTCCCTACCTCAAATATTATCAGCATAGTCAAGAATCTGCTCCCTACCAATCCTAAGTCATTATCTGCTGCCCTATAAATGGCACAGTGATGCTGCTGGCGGCTTTATGAGAGACATGCTCTTGGAGGAAGTTTTCTGCTATAAATTAGCACATTGCTCTATGAATAGCACATACGACTGTGTCAGAGACTGCATGGAGACCCCCTCTGCCAATAATGTGTTCCTGAGATTTGCTCCTACATACATGGCCGCACTCAGAGGCCACAGTTCCATGCAGATGCTCAGTGGTAGGGAAATATAGTCTTGGATCTTTAAGCGGGGGATGGAGAGCTATCCAGAAATCTGCTAGAAGACAGGGGTGCTTTTCACTTCCTAAACAAAAGGCTTCTGTGGTCTTGTATGACCACTGCAGACTTTGCTGAGACTAAAATCTCATCCCCAGAGCTAAGTAAAACCTCATTCCTCCAGCTATAATTTCATGCAAGACTCTCCAATGGAGTCGCGGCCCTGTACCAAGTACAGTAAAACCCAATCACATTATACTATCTCATTTAATAATCACTTCGGTTCTGTGTGGTAAAAAGCTAACTCCATTGTGCTGGTGAGGAAGTCAAGGTACAGAAAGGTCAAGGCAAGAGTAGCACAGTACCAGAGCTGAGGCTTAAAGCCAAATCTAACTCCACAGCCCCCACTTTGTCCAGGCCACCTCAGGTCCTAAAGGCACTCAGGGTTGGGACATCACAGCTGCACTGAGATTTCTGCCCCATGTTGCCAGACTGCTCTCCAAGGGGAAGATGCCTTGGGAGCAGCACGGGCAGAGGGAACCAAGGAGGGGAAGGAGCAGAGATGTGGAAGCCTTATTCTGTGAATCTGTCCTTTTCCTTCTCATTCAATGGATGGAGCCAAGATCCAGCTTCTTTACTTATCCTTGAATGTTTTAAGGAGATTCTTCTCTGGATTAGAGCTCTGGGAAGCTCACAGCCTGACGGAAGAATTCCTACACCAGTGATTGTGTTTTTCTACCTTTTACTTCCTGATGGCTTGGCTAACCTTCAAAGTATGCTTCAGTATATTTATATTTGTAATCAGGACTCAGTTTCACTGATCTTTTTCTTTTTCACCGATCATGTCTGTTTCCAAAAGCGCACTCTGAGGACCTGGTTGCCAGAACTGCGCTGTTGCTCTAAGGAAAGTGACATCCAGGGTGCAGGTGTGCTTCCTCGAGGGTGGGTGAGGCTGCAGGAACCTTTTGAGAGCCTTCAGTAAACTCTCCCCTCCCCTGCCGGCCCTCCTTTAATTCAGCACCTTCCAGACAAGTCTGCAGGGTTCCACTTAGCTACACCCTGGGGAATTCAAAATGAGAGAGATGACACTGCGAGGTCTCCTCTGAAGTCTGGTGAAAATGTAATAGAGCTATATAATTCCATGCAAGGCCTTAGCGTGAGTCTTTCTTACTTTTGCATTCTCACCAGGTGTCCTCATGATGACTTAGGAGACTTCCAGAATAGGCGGATAATTATTTAAATTATCAGTGAATTTTCTCTCTTGATGTTCTTTGAATATTTTTATACTAGAACTATGGTGCACTTGAGAGAATTAATGTTTTGCCTAAATGTTGTAGGTAAAACAAACTCATTTAAAAATCCCTTAGATAGGGAAGAAGAGAAAGAACAAAAATAAAAATCAGTGTTTATTCAGGATCTAGATAGGTCAGAGACAGCGTTAGAGCTATTTATACATTCTCATTTAATTTTCATATTACTGCCAATGAGTGGGTATTGTGAATCCCATTTTACAGATAAAGAGACAGAGGCTTATAAGCTATTCTGTGACTTTCTACCATCTTCCAGTTTGTGAGTATCAGTGCTGGAATTCACCTGTAGGTTGTCTGGTTATAAAATACTTATTAATTCATCAAAGAGCATTGGGATTGTTTGGGATTATTAGTGTAAGTTAATACCAAATGCAAACCCCACAAGTAAAATGCCTACATTTGAATTTCTACGTTTACTAAGCCTGAAACCTCATCTGTCCTTATGTTTCCTAACAACTGAGTCAAAAGTTGCAGTTTTTTTAAGTAAATAATTTTGAGGATTTTTGGTTTCTTGCTTAGAAAGAAACTGATTTCATTTTATCTTCCATAAAATAACTGATACCTGTGAGAAAATACAAATAATCACATATGAAGCCCCTAAGAGGGAACAAGAATAAAATAATATGCTTATATACCAGGACAACCAAAATGATATACATTTAAAAATATCCTAGCTCTGTTTTAATAAAGTGATGCCATAACTATTAGAATGGAAAAGGGTAGAATACCCTCGGTGGAAGTGGGGAGTCAGAAACTCCTCCCCACGTCCCTGGCAGGGTCTGTGCGCTTGGCCTCCAGCCTGTGCTTCCCCCCCATAGCTGCAGGCTAAGTCATTTCTTGTCTCACACCCTGTATCTTCATATCTAAACTACAGATGAATAAAATCTGCCCTCTGTATTGGCAGGGTTGCTAAGAGTCTCAAATAAGATGAACTGCTTTAGAAAGTTAAGATGTTGTGTTATTCACCCACTGAATTTTGAAAAAAATTGTTGACATGGATCCCTTATTCTTACAGTGCAAACTTTTCTCCTTCGAGACTGCTAGTTCTGCACAAGGTAATAGCCACCCTGCTAAGTTTTGCGTTCTCTGCTCTCTTTAAAAATGGATAATTTCAACTCTAGCTGTGATGGTTCAGTCGAAGGGGTTACTCTCCACTCATACATGTCATGGCATATTTGAATAAACTTAATACACTAGGAAATACTCCTACCAATATTATTTCTGCATCTGGAACATTATTATCTTAAAAATAACAGCTGACATGAACTGGGTTTTATCTACGTGCCAAGGGCTTTGTATCTATGAACTCATTTAAACTTCACCCCATAAGAAGAAACTGTCATTAGCCCCATTTTACAGATTGTAAAATTGAGGTTTGGACAGCTCAAGTAAACTGTCCCAAGTCAGATGTTTAGAAAGTGGTGGAGATGAAATTATTGTCCAGATAGTGTGAGTTCTGGCACTGAACAACTCCAGTGCCTATGTCTCTCCAGCTGGGGTCAGATTGTGCTGAGGCAAGAGCATGAGCTGAGGGAAAGAACACCCCTCTGAGGATGCCCCTCACCTGTAAGATGAGGCCTTGGACCAGAGAATGTCTGCAAAAGCTCTTAGTACGTGAATCAGGCCACACAAGACAAGGTCAGCTGCAGAGCCCTTACCTTTACCCTCATGTTTCCTGACTGAGTCCCCAGTCACCAGCCAGGGCTCCCAAGGGCCTGTGTCCTCATCACAGGGTGCTGCTGAGCTCAGCTGGAGCCCGCTGCCCGGTTGACCCCCCTAGGAGCTTTGCAGCCCCAACACCTACCGATATAAGCGGCTCCATCTGTCACCATGTACTTGTTGCGGTTCAGTTTAGGAAAGGTGAGATCCTTTTGTTCATTTGTTGCACAAGCATTCTCTCTTTCCAGGTCGAAAAACTTCTGTAAGACAAAAACAAAAACCAAAACAAAAAGAAACATAAAGCAGATGACTACAGACTGTATTGGTCTAGTTCAAGAGCTCAAAGGAACGTATTCCCAAATAACAACAGACTTCATACTGGGTTATTAAAACCACACTCCAGTTACTTTGTATGGCAGAAGCTATTTTTGTTCTCAGATCCATGTAGGCAAGGAGAGAGAACATTAGCGCGCTCAACTAGGTCCATAATTAACATTTTTAAGCTACAAAATGAACAGAAAATTCATCCTGTCAACAGGGCGAAGGCCAGAAGGTTGTTTAATTCTCATTGTCTTGCTCATTGGGGTGCAGTGGCTTTGAAGCCTGCCTCAGGGGGCTTCCCGTCAAGTGTGCCAAGGAGCTGAATGAATATTCTCATGCTATGTACACTTCACGACCGTGATTCAACTGGGGAATCTGCAAAGGTCAAGAGATTTTGCCACAGGAACCAGTATTTTCTATCCAAAACGTTAAGTCTACATGCTCTTATAGGAGGCAACTCAAAATAAAAATCCTAACTTCAAGTCATGAATCTGAACTGACCCCCAAAGCGGCATTCCAGTTCCCCCAGAGCCACAACAGAGTCACTAGGAGAATGGGGCATGAGACCAGGACAGGCCGGGGTGTGCCTGGGCCTGGGGTCGGTCCTGTATGCCAAGGGTGGTGGCAGTCTGGGCTGTGGCTGAGCTCACACAGGACACCTGTCATCTATGGTGGGCTCAGGTCTCTTTGAGTTGGGAAAGGAACATTTTCAGAACTGTGAGGAATCTTTCTCCAGCATCTCCTGGCTACAGCTATGGGGGCTGTGTGCTGAAGGCAAGAGGAGGCAGAGACAAACAGGAGATGAACAGCTGGAAAAGGAGACGCCACGTATAGTTTCAGACCTGCCTGTGTTCACATTTGGTTTGGGGAAATAATGAGAGTTGGTCTTGCCCTGTGCCCCCGGGCCGGAAAGGAGTGGCCTGGGTGATCACTTCCACCCTGAAAATTCTATGTGGGTTTTCTGTAGAACCTCCAAGATCAGGGGCTGGGGATTTAGTTCAGCGGCACGGCGCCTGCCCAGCAAGCGCAAGGTCATGAGTTCAATTCATGGTACCGGAAGAAAAACAAAAACAAAAACAGAAACAACAACAACAACAAAAAACCTCTAAGATCCTTGGTGCACAGAACAAGAATTGTGTATTCCACAGCACAGAGCGCACTCTCTAGGGGCTGCATCCCTGTGGGTATAGCGATGCTACCCGGGCCCCCTTATTTCCTCATTACTGCCTTCTGCAAAGTACACGTCTTCAATCAGACTTAACATGTGAGTGCTCTGAAGTCGCGGCTGTGTATTCATGAAATCCACGAGAATTGAAAGCATCACCAGTGGATAACAGCCAGCAGTCATCTCATGTAGACATTCCATCACTGACTTGCTGAAAACACGGCCCTGTCTCCTTCGGAGAAAGCTATTATTGTAGAATGGGGATGGATTTGAAAAGGAAGAAAATGTACATTCTAAGTTAAATCAAGGATGGAGTCACAGCTTGAGGCTTTTAGCGAGAACTCCTGTTGCTGAAAAAGTCAATAGGATGGCCCCAAAGAGGTAGGAGATTAACAGGATAGCAGAAATCAGAACTTACTCACTGATATTATTAGATACCTTCATATGTTATAAGAGGGCAGCAAAGACATTAAAAAACGGATTGGTTAATTTAATAAAAGATAGAAACTCAGGCAAGTGGAACAACCTTGTGAGTTGCAGGCTTTTCCACAAACTCTCTGTGGATGCAAAGCCACATCAGGGTGGGGGCGGGGAGTGGGGGCGGGGCATCCATCCACCAGGACATAGTTCCCTGCTTGGTTCCCAGCCATCTGCTTTCTGAGTGCTCTGCAGCCCCTGATGAGGGACTACAAAAGGGTTCCAATGTCCACTGTTCTTGGAGGAGTTTCTCAGCCATCTGGGCTGTAGATATCGAGGTCGTAAGCTTCTTTCCCACCCAGGCTTTCGTGACCCTTTCTTCATAAAACGGCCAGCAGTGAGAGAGTGATGTTTGGTGTTTTCAAGAACCATGACCATCTGCATCAAAACCACGAAGCTGGGGAAGTACCGGAGAGATTGAAACGATGGAGGGATTCCAGTCCCCTGAGATTTCTTTCTCGGAAGTCTTTAGTGAGAACACTCAGCGTGTCACTTCTGGGGAGATTCAGTGGCAGTGTGTTACAGGGAGGCAGGGACCTCAGATTAGCCTGAAGGAAGCAGAGAGCAGACAGAGGCAGAGGCACCACACAGTGTGCCAGGCACTCTCCGGTCTGCCCTGCTAGGCCTCGTAAGTGTGACAGTGGCGCTCCCCAACAGCCCACGCTGACCTCCAGAGGCCTGGCTTCCCTGGGCAGCACGGGCCTGCAGAGATGGCTAGCCACACCTTGGACTTGGCCGTTGTCCTGGGCATGGCTCTGTCCCTGGTGTGTAGGACTTTCCTGTCTGTCTATCTTTGTTAGCGCCCTTCTTGACTTCATTCATTCAGCATCCGCTCTCTCTGTACATGTGCTTGAATACTGCGCCAGGCATCTCATTGGGTGCTGGGAATACCGTGGTGGTTAGGCACCTGTTTTTTGTCTTAATGCATTTTCCTTGGAGCTCTGCATGCCACTTTAATTATCCAGAAAAGGTGCTCTCGGAGCTGAGATAATCCCAGACATTTTTTTGTCTGTGTGAAGGCATTAGACACAATTGAACCCTATCCCCTGGTGTCTCTGCCTGGCTTCCTGGAGCTGTAGCACCTTGTCCTCTGCTCTCCCAGGTCTGATTCTAAACCCGGTTATTCCACTTACTGATCCAACACCAACTTATTGCTTTTACTGTATTTGCAAAGCTGTCTTTGAAAGCCCATGGCTTTAGTGGAAAGCACAGATTTGTTTTTATTTCTAATACTTACACTTATTTATGAACCCACAGACATCAGTATGGCAGCCTTGGTTTACAAAAGCCAGTTAAATAAAGAGCTGTGCTGAGACTAGATAAAACTTTCCATCTTTCCCTTTATTGAGAGGGGAGGTTGAGGACTGCCTATGTGGGAAGAGAATACAATGGGTAGCGGGTGCCTAGCACGTCAGACAGTGATGATCCTCGAGCTTGTTCCTTTGTCCCTTTGGGAATGCAGCTACCCTTCTGAGCACACTCATTAGCCCGCCTGTCGCTGTGTGGCCATGAGAATGACGCTGGGCCTGGAACGAAGGCTAAAGGCAAGTTCACCACTTCTGGATGTAACCCACAGAGTCTCCCACCCACTTCTCCAAACTCTCGCTTCTGTTTGGCCTTAGGATACCAGGAGCTGGGGAAATCTCAGGTGACGCGTCAAAACTGATACTTCAGAGTTTTTTCCATCCCGTGCCCTTAAGTGCTACAAGAAACACAGCCCCATCATCGAGAAGAGGGCCTGCCACACAGCAGTGTGTCTGTGAATGACTGTACAGCGGGCTGGGAAAAGCTGAGAGCTATAGGGTCTGCGGCCATTAGTCAGGGGAAGCACAGAGAAGATGTTGTAGGCAAAGAGAGGGGCAGGTGCAAAGGTCATGTGGTGCTGGAGGAAGGTCCAAGATGAGCTAGAGAGTTAGCGCCTTGGGAGCATCACCAATCCCCATTTTGTCTTCCTCAAGGAATTCAGTGACGGATGAGCATGTGGTCCAAGGGACCCAGAATGAGTGCAGGACCCCGGGCTAAGGGAACATTGGGGCTGTGGGACTCCGTGCTGGTTTCCAATCTTGGGTCCAGTTTTACAAGTAAGAACGGCAGGGGAATAAAGCAGTTCAAGCAAAATGGAGAGGCTGCAACAGCTTGCGTGTTTGAAGAGGGCCAGACAGAGGGAACCTGGATTCTACTTTCTTTTTTACGTGTGTGATTGCTTTGAAAAATGACTTGTCCTGCCTTTTGAAGTTTTTACTACCAAAGATCATCATTCTGATTCTTACTGGAAGTTTACACATATATGTATGCTTCTGGCACTCGGACATGCAGAGTGAACTTTTGATTTCATAGCACAGTTGGTGTAATACTTACAACTTTCAAACTGCAGTTGGCTATTTCCGTGCAAATAGCTTTAAGAGATGAAATGAAGTTAAATGTGAGGGGGTCAGTTTCCTTCCAGAAGCTGATCAGGAGCCGCACTTTAACGCTTCTCAAAACCAGCGCTTCTCTTATTTTCCCATCCAGGTCTGGCCAGTAAGTCCTACAGAAGTAATATCCACATAGAATAAAAGTAAAGAACAAAGTGAGTTTTGGGAAAGAAATAGGCTAGATGACAGAGCATGTTTATCTTAGTCTGATCATGACTTTATTCTGTAATATATAAATAGCCTTAAAGGATTGGCTGAAAAAAAAAATGAAAGACTTTTGGGTTAGACACCAAGAAATGAAGTTTCCTGGGACCTGGGTCCACCTAAAAGGAGAAATTTGGCTACCAGGGCTTAGCTGGTCATGGGCCTCTCTCAGTGTACCTCCTGGGCTAGGTGGGCCTGAGTCTACACACACACATACCATAAATCAACTTGGTGACAAAATCCCAGCCGGGAACCCTGAGCTCTCAGTCTGTTCCCAAATGCCACTACAACCTCTTTCGTGGGAAACTGTGCCCAAATGAACTTCTGCTCTGCTTATCTGAACTTTCCCACTCTTATTTCCAGATTGTCCTCAGCAAAATCTCTCCTGACTATCCTCCACCCTCACCCCGCCTTCCCTACCATCCTCTCTGGGCTGGGCACTTGGACTCCTCCATCAGGCACAAAGCTTCCTAACTTCTTCCATGAATCCTTGACTTTTGCCTTACCTACATCCTGATTTTTCCCAACGGCCATACCTTCTCATAGGGTCTTACCATATATTTTTCTATGGCTGCTTGGCCTCTTGGTTTGAGAGGTGGGATCAACTTCCTACTCTTCCCAGCCTCCTATGCAGTGTCACTTCTGGAACTGTCTCTTAACTTTTATGCTGAATCAAAAAGACCTTTCCCTACCTCAAGGACTAAATGTTAAATCACTCTTCCTCCCCTCAACCCTGAATTTGTAGAACTTCTGTTGATTCAAATCTTGGTCTAATTCTGGGCCAATCTACTGTTTGGACACAGGACACAGGACACACTATCCAAATCTTAGCCTGTAGTGTCATAATCATTGCACCTCCAAACGGTCTCCTCTCTGTATTTACCATGCCTTCCTGCCTGCCAAGTCCCCACTCTTAATCACATTCAACCTGCCCATTCACCCCATGAGACTACCGATCGGTGGACCCCTCCAGCATCCCTGGTCCTTGGTCTCCTCTTGGTCTTCTTTGCCTGCCCAGCCCAGTTCCAGTTCTGATTGCCTGCAGGGAGGGCACTCGCCCTCTACTCTACTTCCCTCTCCCTTACAGCAAAATCTAAATCGTGGCATGTGTTATAGTTCTCTTTGTCTATTTCTATGCCCACGAAGCTGAGGACTACTGAGAAAAAATCATCTCAGCCTTGTGCTCCAAACTGGTTTCTTCCTCCACTCTTCGCCATCAAGCACATCCTTCAGGGCCACCGAGGTGATCTGTCTACAGCAGATCTGGCCGTGTCAGCTCCTTTGATGGAAACAAGAGGAGGCTGCCAAAGTCACAACACTTCGCAGGAGTCAGCCCCAGTCCTGGGCCTGCCTTCTCTCCAGTTTGACCTCGCACCACCCTACTCTGGGCTATATGAGCTGGCCCAGGACATGCTAAGCTTTCTTCTCCACCTGAAACTTTGCTCAAATTGTCCTCGGGAAAACTCCTCTCCTCACTCTTTCCTGACCATTTCATGAATACTTTAAAATGTAATATGGGTAGTGTCTCCTCCACAAGCTTTCTCTAGCTGTGGGACTGCACCAGAGTGTCTTTTCACGAGCTTCTCCAATATTCTGAACACAAACCTATTGCCTCCTTCACATCACTGTGTCCTAATAATCTAGTCTGGGTCCACTTACCCATATCAGATGGATCATAAATTGTTCATGCCACAACCCTCATGCACATACTCAACACATTTGTTGAATGAGAACATAAATGAAAGCTATTAATACAAGCAGTCCTTATTTATCCCTGGAAAATACACTCCAAGACACAGTGGATGCTGGGAACTGCATCTAGCACTGCACCTAGTAAGACTATGTTTTTTCTACACACACACAAACACACACACACACACACATACACACACACAAACATGTCTATGTTAAGGGTTAATTTATACAGTAGGGGCAACAAGAGATGAACAATAATAAAGTAGAACAATTATAGCAATGGACTCTAATGTCTAGTAAAAGTTACTTGAAACTGATCAATTATTAATTTCTGGAAATCTCCATTTAGTAGTTTTAAACTCCAGATAACTGATCCCAAAAGGCAAACCCACCAATCATGGGAGATGACTGAACCTCAAAGACTAATCAGGCTGTTTTTATTGGTCCTCTATACATTTACTGATTTACCTCTGAAAGACACATTCATGTGGCTGAAGAAATGCATCCTAAATAACCCCAAACTGAGACTAAATAATTATGTGGACTTCTTAAAGAAAGAGCTTGATTGCTGCAGCAGGAGGGAGTAACCCTGGGCTTCTACTCTTTACTGTGGGATTTATTTAGCCACATCACTGTTTCACTCACTTTGAAATACCTGGAAAAGTAGACATTCTGACACTATCAGTAAGTGAAAGTATTTCTTTTAAACAGGGTATCAACAACTTCTCATTTGGGAGTGTGTGAATTTCTTTCTCTTTCATTTAGATATTTGGTGGTAGACTAACAGTTGAATCTTTAAGATACTCATTCATTCCACAAGCACACAAAAATGTGGCAGTATGTACTTCTTAAAATTAAAATTGAATTTTAAAAAAATTTCTTTATATGACTGAAAAGAATTTAATTATAAGCCAGACATTTGAACTACTTACTTCTCTTTGATGACCTTTTTGCTTAGAAAGCTCAAAGTATAGATCTGAAATTTTTAAAGTACTCTAAAAGAAGTACCATTTGAACAACAGCCAAAAACTAAAGAAGATGCACAATTTT